GTAATGATTATGTTGGCCAAGCAGGACTCATGGAGTGTGATGAGAAAACAACTTTACCTTCTGTGCACCTCATCAAGCCCACTTTGACGTTTGTAGGGGTAGCTCTTTTTTGGTTACCCTGCATGGTTCCAAAATGCAGTTTCAATTCAAGACCTAATACGTCCAAACCAACTGAGGAGACTGAAGACTTAAATGATTCTCTTACTAGGATCTTTTGCCTGAAGTCCATTTGGCACAAGGGAAGGCAATGATTCCATCCTTCCTTTATCCCCAAGCACCCAGTGGAAACTTTCTAGGTTCCTTCTGCTGAGGTCCCCTTGGACCTTCAGGTGTTTTCTTAGACAGCATCTTAGAAGCTTCACACCAGCTTTCTCATGCATAATCCACAGGAAATACCAATGCTTTTTTCACCCTAAAACCCTAGGAACACAGGACAATCCCATTGGAGCTACCACACCCTCACTTCTGTATCAGAGATATCTCATCAAAACTACTGTGCTGAGGCCACACACTGCCAAATTCTGGTGGCCATTTACTTGATATTGCCTTGTCTTAGTTGGTACAACTGTTGCTCTGTGGGCATCCCAACTTCTTTGTGTGTAATTTTGGGCCTCCATCAATGACCCATGCAAAAACATAGGAGGACTTTTGATGCCAGGATTCTGCTATGACTGAGGCAAAGTGAAGAAATGCCGTCTCTCCTTTTGTGTCAGAGTTTGTTAGAAGGATCACAAAATACTGTTTTTTTTGTTTTTTTGTTTTTTTTTTTTTAATTTCTAGATTTATGGGTACAAATTAAATTGTGTTACATGCATAGATTGTATAATGGTCAAGTCAGGGCTTTTCAGGTATCTGTCACCTAAACAATGTACATTGTACCCATTAGGTAATTTCTCATCATCCATCCTCCTGGTATTCCCTCATCTTTTCAAGTCTCTGTTGTCTATCTTTCTACTCTTTATGTCTATGTGTATACATTTTGTTTATCTCCCACTTATGAGAAGATGTGATATTTGACTTTCTCTGTATAACTTGTTTCCCTTAAAATAATGACTTTCAGTTCCATCCGTGTTGCTACAAAAAACAGAATTTTATTCTTTATATGGCCAAATAGTATTCCATTATGTATACATACCATATTTTCTTTATCCAATTACCTGTTGATGGATACTTATGTTGATTCCATGACTTTGCTATTGTGAATAGTGCTTTGATAAATGTGAGTACAAGAATCTTTTTGTTATATTGATTTCTTTTCCTTTGAGTAGATACCCAGTAGTGAGATTGGTAGATCAAATGGTAGTTCTATTTTTAGCTCTTTGAGAAGTCTCCATACTGTTTCCCATAGAGGTTGTACTAATTTACATTCCTAACAACAGTGTATAGGAATTCCCTTTTATCTGCATCTTCATCCGTGATTCTTATTTCTTGATATTTTATTAATAGCCATTCTGACTTAATTTGCATTTCTGTGATGATTAGTGATGTTAAGCATTTTTTCGTATACCTGTTGGCCATTTGTATGTCTTCTTTAAAAAAATTTCTATTCACATTCTTTGCCCACCTTTTTTTTTTTTTTGACAGGGTCTCACTCTGTTGCCCAGGCTGGAGTACAGGAGCACAGTGACACAATCATGGCTCACTGTAGCCTCAACTTCCCAGGCTCAAAAGATCCTCCACCCTCAGCCTCCTGAATAGCTGGGACTATAGTGTGCACCACCATGCCTGCTTAGTTTTTTATGTTTTGCAGAGATGTAGGGGAAGGTGGGTGATCTCGCTATGTTGCCCAGGCTGGTCTCACACTCCTGGGCTGAAGCAATCCTCCCACCTCAGCCTTCCGAAGTGCTGGGATTGCAGGCATGAGCCACTATGCTTGGCCTCTTTGCCCACTTTTTAATCGGATTATTTCTGGGATTATTTTTTGGAGTTGTTTGAGTTCCTTATGTATTCTGTATATTAGTCCTTCATCAGATGAATAGTTTGTAAATATTTTCTCTTATTCTGAAGGTCATAGGTTCAGTCTATTGATTGTTATTATTTTTTTGTTGTGTGCAGAAACATTTTAATTCATCTAATTTGTCTATTTTTGCCATTGTTGTGTGTGTTTTTGAGGTCTTAATTACACATTCTTTGACTAAATCAATGTCCAGGAGAGTTTTCACTAGGTTTTCTTCTAGTATTTTTATAGTTTTGGGTTTTATGTTTTAGTTGTTAATTCATCTTGAGTTGATTTTTGTATATTGTGAGAGATAGGAGTCCAATTTAATTCTTTTGCATATGGCTATCCAATTTTCCCAGCACCATTTATTGAAAAGAGTGTCCTTTCCCTAATGTATCTTCTTATTGACTTTATCAAAGATCAGTTGGCTATAAATATGTGCCTTTATTTTTGGGTTCTCTATTCTGTTCTATTGATTTATGTGTCTATTTTTATAATAGTACTATGCTGTTTGGGTTACTACAGTCTTGTAATATAATTTTAAGTCAGGTAATGTGATGCTTCCAGCTTTGTTCTTTTTGCATAGGATTGCTTTGGCTATTTGGGCTCTTCTTTGGTTCCACATAAATTTTAGGATTGATTTTTCTAATTCTGTGAAAAACAACATTGACATTTTGATAATGATAATGCACTGAATCTTTAGATTGCTTTGGGCACAATGGTCATTTTTACACTATTAATTCTGATTCATAAGCATGAAATGTTTTTCTGTTTGTGTCATGTATAATTTCTTTCATTAGTGTACAAAACAGTTTTAACCCTATATTTTAAAAAAGTTGTTTAGCAAACCCAGTCTTTCAGTTTTTATTAATTAATGTGCTCTTCCTTGAACTTAGACATGGAGTTAGGAGGCAAATAAGAACCAAAATAACTACCTTTCTGTCAACTAAGGCTTTGTTGCTGTCAGACTTCTGGAGTTTGTTTTTCTCTTCCTTAAACCTGAGTTCTCTCAGGAAGCATCTGGGTCATTCTGCAATGGCCAGCAGGCTGGTTGCCACAGTAGTTAGTCAAACATGTCCAGACATGTTGCATACTGAAGCTGGGATCTCAGCCTCTGGTGATGAAGTAATCAAGTGTTGTAACAGAAAAAAAGCTGATGTATTCAGATGTCTATCGTTTGGCGGATGGAGCAACCAAGGTTGAGAGAGGTAAAATTATTTGGTCAAGAACATACATTGGTTAGTGACAGAACTCAGACAAAGCCCTCATCTCCTGATATCTTGACAAGTGCTCTTTCCACTTCAGAGTTCTGTCTGTCTTTACCAGAGGAGGATATACTGAAATTATATATAGAAAGTATCATATTCAGAAAACTACTTTCTGGTTTCGGAATCAAGTAACATTATATATCCCATGTGTTAAAAAGAGGCAGCAGAGTTTAATTCAGGACAATTCTATATATGTGGAATGTCTGCCAGTTCTAGATGGTAATGTTGTCAGTTGAAAAAATATTACAGAAGAGAAGATTCACTCGTTTTTCCTCCTTTCTTTCTTTCTTTTTTTTATACTTCAATTACAGTATGGGTTTTCCCAGTAGTTTCTTCAAATCTGAGGTAAAGCTTGGCAGATTGGGATTGATTGTTTTCTTTATTATTAGTCTAGATGAGTGGAAGCTCCTGTTAAATTATGGGGATTTTCAAATAAAATGGACAACTTTTAGCCTTCCAAAATTAGTCAAAAAGAATGCTAGTCTTGAAGATTAACCCAAAGACTTTCCCATTGTAGAGTAACAGAAGCTATGAAAAATGTCTAGGTGGATGATGTTCAAGGCATCTCAATATTGTATGGAAATGCAGATTAGAATTCTTGAGTCCCTAAGGAGGATGCAGAAGTGGCTAGTCAGGAAAGACCTCAGCAGTGGAATTAGAAAGACAGAGAATGAGAATGAGTGGACTGATATGTAGAGGACAAGGTAGGCTGAGGTCCTCAGCATCACGTGCTAAGAGGAAAATGACTGAGGCCCAAGACCAGTTAAGATGAACTGTGCCTCAATGGAGACTGGCAAGGACTGACAAAGACTACCTCCTTGACCAAACTTAGGCTCCTCTGAACCCTCTTTTTGACTAGGCCTTGACCATAGAACCATCTTGTCTTTGGTCTGCCTAGCTCAGTCTTAGTGAGGAATCCTGCTAAGTTGTCTCCCCACCCTTGATATCTGATCAAACACTTTATCCCCTATCTTTGATGTATAAGTCCTTGGACTGACTTCAGAGTAAGAATTCTGTTATGTTAGCTTAGCAAGAAGCCCCCTACTCTTGATCTCTCCTCTTAATAATTTTCCATCTAATGACTCCTTCACTCTGCCCATTGGCTATAAGTACTTGTCCTTGCTATATTCAGAGTTGAGCCCAGTCTTTTTCCTTTATTGCAAACCTCTATTGCAATAGTCTTGAATAAAGTCTTCCTTACTATTTTAACAAGTGTGAGAATAATTTTTTTCTTTAGTAGGATAGGGGAGGGCACACAGACCCCATGCACCCTCTTTACCCACCAACTGGGGCTGGGATGCTATCCAGATGCTGCCTGAAAGTAAGGGAGAAACAAAACCCTGAACCAAAGAGAAATTAACCAAAAGAGCCACAGAAGTAAACCACAAGAACCAAGTTATCTTAAAATGGTACAATTAAGCATTTCCGTTTACAGTAAAAATTGGGGCTGGTAAGTCTGGAATTAGCAAAGTAAAATTGTATGGCTTGGTGTATCTCAGCTACTTTACTTCATTTAAGAATTATATATTTCTAAAAACTATTGCTTTTAGGGTAATTTGATTTTTTTAACTCCAGAAAAATAAAATGTACCTTTTGCAGAAAATGATTAATGTGTATTAACAGAGATATTTCCCTTATCACATTAACCCTCTGTGCTTCAAGGAGAGTCAAGAGAGCTGCTCAAATTTTGTTATTTCTGGAAGTTTTCTTACCGTAAAGCTTTCCCACTTAGTAATTTTTAAAAAGTGTTTATAGTTTCAGGTATGCCTCTCCACCACATAATTTGCATGTACTTAATCAGGATCTTACTTTTATTATTAAAAAAATCCAATCCCTATGAATGTCAGTGTTTATGAGCTCTCCTTCTAATAGCCAGAGAGGTCTGTCTCATTCAGTCTAGCTCTCTGCAAAATTTAGCGAGTGGCTGTTCATCAGGCAGTAAATGTCAGGGTGACAAATTGCCAAATCCAGGGCAGCTTCTCCTCCCAGCAGTGAGCACTTTTCAGATCATTTTGCTTTTAAGTGTTTTTCGCCTTGTTTCTAATGGAAGAGAGAGAAGGGGGAGGGGGTAACGATAGTAATGCACTTTGTTCAGTCACTTAGTTCTAAGTCAATAGTTTTCCCTAATGCAAAGAGATGTTATTCCCTTTATAGCTCCAGGTCTGGTTAGATTTCTGAAAGGTCAGGGAGCACATCAAGCACATCAAGGAATCATGCCCCATTTTAAAGGTACAAATTTTTTCTTTCTTTATCTCCTGAAGGATGATAATAATATTTCAAAAGTGTAAGGAGTAAAATGATGTGTAGTAAACATACATTTATTACTATCTTTTGCAATTTGTGTAATGGTAGCTCTGATATTCTGACCTATTTGCTGAAGCATTCGGTATGCAATTTGTCAGCTGATATTTATAGCTACAAGAGCTCTTTCTTTAGAGAGAGATCCCTTTGCACTGGAATCTGAAGAAAAAAAATGGGAGTGTAAATTGGGTGTATTTAAATATAACCTGCTGAACCAACATACTTGGAACAATGTGTCATCAACCATTCTTTCTCTCATTCTATTCTCTAATGTATGGTTATATAATCAAGAGAAACTGTGTGGCCAGGACTGTACCTGCAACTTGAGATGAAAACTTGAGGACGAGTACCCTTGCAGTCGTATGAGATTGAACTGAATACCCACAAAATCCCTTCCAAATTTGAAACTCACTTATATAATTTACGCTCTTAAATTTTCTTTGGCATCAATTATTTGAAAAATTCAGGTGATAAGGTGTATGTATTATCCAAGTTCAAGGCCACTCTTTTACTGGTAGCTTTCTTGAGATGAATGAACTTTATTTCCCATATTTCATCTACCATGGAGTCTGGCAATGGTGTTGGAATACTATCAATCATCAAACACTATGATTGCTTCTAAACTATTACTTTTCATCCTTCAAGCAAAATTCTTCTCTCTTCATGAGGCTCCTACCTTCAGATTATATCATCTTCCTTGGTATCATTCAAGTTAGCTCACTCCTGGTCTTTCTTTATAGTCTCAGACTCATCTCTTCACATTATCATCATCATGTGTGATGTCAGGCCCCTTGGCTTTTAATAGTGTACCAACCTGGCTTTAGAGTTTCCTGACATCCTTAACTTCACTAATTATCATCTGATGACAGCAATCTATATCCATGGGCACACCTATTAACTTATTGTTACATACAACTGTTCCACTTCTGGAATTCTGAATTCCATTTTAGTCTAACCTCTAAACCTAATTTATATTTGCCTTTGACCTCGTTGACATACTTGACCCAATCATTTCATCCTAGCTTTCATCCCCTTAATAACTCAAAATTCCCTCCTATTTAGATCTCTTTTGCTTATTTATATCTAGCTGAGATTGCATTCCACTATAAGAAATAGAAAATTCAACCAGTAGTTTAGTTTAAATAAATAGTTGCTTATTTTTCTCATGTAATAGAACATTTAGAGGTAGGAGTTTACTTTAGGGGTTTTAGATGCTCTGGAGTGTTTTGTTAGGGATTCTGTAACAAAGTACCACAGTCTGAGTGATATAATCAGCAGAAATTTATTGCCCCAGAGTTCTAGAGACTGGATGTCCAAAATCAAGATATCAAGCTGCATTTCATTGCTTTAGGGCAAACAACAACAACAACAACAACAACAACAACAACAACAACGTGTAGATAGGGTTGGTCCTTTCTGAGCTTGGTGGGGAAGAAACTGTTCTGTCTCTCCATTAGCTTCTGGTGGTTTTCAGGCAATCTTTGTCATTCTCTGGCTTATAGAAGCATCACCCTGGTCTCTGCATCCTCACATGGCATTCCCTGCATGTGTGTCTGTCTCTAAATTTCCCCTTTTTATAAGAACAACAGTCAGATTGGATGAGGACTCACCTCAATGACCTCATTTTAACTTGCTTAGCTATGTAAAATCCCTATTTGCAAATAAGGTCACTTTGTGAGGCACTGAGGGTTAGGGCTTCACCATTTAAATTTTGAGGGGACACAACTCAGCCCATAACATATTCCATAATGTCGACATGGCCCCAGGCACTTTCTACCTTTCTTCTCACTACTCTCACCCTGTTGACTTTGATTCTCATGGTTTTTGCTCAGGCATAACAGATAGCTGCTACACCTCTAGGATTGCTCCATACTCCAGACTAGGAGCAGGAGGAAGCAAAAATGGGCTGTATATCATCCACACCTGCTCCTTTTCATCAGGAAAGCAAAACCTGTCATGAGATCATATTCAGTTGAAATAAAAACTGGGAAATAAGTATTTCTAGCTTCAGTAGGAGGGGAAGACAAAGGAGAAGAGGGGTGGGCCTGCGTGTTGAATTAAGTCTGCCTATATTGTCTACCACACCATCTTCAGCCACTTCATAACAAGCCCCCTAGTGTCCTGACCACAACTCTATCTGTTGCATCTACTTTGGTTGCCCCCAACCTTGGTTTATGTCTGCCTTTCCTATTATAGCACCCAGGACTGGTGAAAGCTCCTGGAAAAAAAACCGTCTTCCAAACTGGAACCACTGCTACATCATGGTCTCCATCTGAAGGGGTCTTTAGCATTATTTTGAAACAGTTTTACATACCTCTGATCAGCTCCCTCATCTGTCGGCCATGGCAACTCCAAACGTTCACCGTCTTCTTCTCTTGCTGCCTGCTGGCCATACTCTCTCACTATAAAACTTGTGGTAATTAATTGTAAACAGTTTCAACTACCCTTTCTCTTACTCCACTGGTTTTCACCTTCCTTCTATCCCATTTCATTTGTTCAAACATGATTCCCTAATATAAGTGCTTCATCTTGTTTCCTCTGCCTCTCCTGGGATTCTGCTGCATGGAGGACTCCATTATCCTGTTTTCATCCTTTCTTTCTTTACTATCTCCTTCAGCCTTAAGTATATTCAAATTTCTTCCACCAAAAAATAAACAAATAGATAAATCCTTTTATCAACACATATATACATTATTCTCTGGCTACCATTCTTACCTTTTCTTCTTACCTTTATGATAAACTTCTTAGAAGAATAACCTTTATTTGTTGTCTTCGTCTCTTTACCTTTCAATCACTCTTAATAGTACTCTAGTCAACACTTTGCTAATCTACTGAAATTTCTGTGGTGGTAATTTCCAGTGACTTCCAAAGCACCAAGTCCAACAAACTTCTTTAGTTTCCACTTCCCACCTTATTTGACTTAATTTGGGCACTGGAAATGTTTAATACCATGGCTTCTGAGTGGTATCTCCTGGCTCTCCTCCTCTCCGATTTGTCCTTCTTTCTCTACTTCACTGGCTTCTGTTCTTTTACATGTACCTTGAATGTTGTGTTCTCCTTGGAGGTTGTTCTTGGCTTCCTTCTCTGTTCTTCATTCTCTCTCTGGGCATCTACTTCCCTGTTTTCACCATGACTCAAATCTTTACCCAACTCTCCCCTGAGTTCTGATTATTTTGTCAAAACTACCCACTGAATGCTGGTTCCTGGTATTCCACAGGGATCTTAAACTCAACTTACTCAAAACAAAATTTATTATCTGCTTTCCTTCCTGTCTCCACCATCTTTCTTTTTTCTTTCTTTCTTTCTCTTTTTCTTTCTTTCTTTCTTTCTTTCTTTCTTTCTTTCTTTCTTTCTTTCTTTCTTTCTTTCTTTCTTTCTTTCTTTCTTTCTTCTTTCTTTCCTTCTCTTTTTCTTTCTTTCTCTTTCTTTTCTTTCTTTCTTTCTCTTTCTTTCTTTTTCTTTCTTTCTTTTTCTTTCTTTCTCTCTCTCTTTTTCTTTCTTTCTCTCTTTCTCTCTTTCCTTTATCCCTACACTAATAAAAATGAATCCTACATCATCCCAGAGATTTCTTTTTTTGCCCCCCACTGAGTAGTCACCACGTTTTGAAGAGTTTCTAAAGCTGAATTTCCTTCATTTCCATTGCTTCTTTTGGTTCATATGATTTTTTGCCTGGTTTAGAGGAACAGGCCAAATTGATGTCCCTATCTCTTGTCTTACACCCATACAATCCATTTTCCAATCTTCCACATTACTAACGTCACAATGCCCATCAATTCATATACATCCATGCTTCAGAAAACTCCTATTAACAGGACACAGCTTCCAGTCTTTGCTTTGCTACGAAGGCCCTGCATAGTCAAGCCCCTGTCTCTCAGGCCTTATCTCTTGTTGCCTCTCTCATCTCCAATAACCCTATGCTTTTGCTATATCAAAATATTTGCATTGTTTTCTATATATCCAGTCTTTTTCAAATATATAGGCCTTTGGTAATATAGCCACCTTGGCCAGCAATATCCTCTGCTATCATTTGACGATTACTTACCTATCTGAAGTCCTTCTTTTATATAGACATTCCTCACCCCTTCACCATTCTTTGGAGAAAAATGTCTATCCTCTTTTGTGTTACTTGCATATACTTATGTCAAAGTTTCTCCACACTTTATTACAGTTTCTTATTTACATGTCTGTCTCTCCCTTTTAGACTCTAATGCGATTGAAAGATTGGAGGTAGGGATTGAACCTCATGCATCTGTAAATTCACAGCATCTACAAAGCTTGGCATGCAGTTGTAGGGATGTATACATGAACTCCTGTTTAGTGGAGTGCAAAAACACTGAATTTAAATTTAGAAGATGAGGCTTAGGTGTTAACTCCACCGTTTATCAGCTGTGTGACTTTGGGTAAGTCATTTGACCTTTCTGATTCTTAATTTTATATGAATATTTTAAAACTCTTATTATGTACTAACCTGTGCATTTAACCAGAGGGTCTCCCTGTCCTACCCCTCTGTGGTGAGCCTCAGCCTCACATGTATTGGAAAGCACACTGTAAGCTGTTAAAATTTATTCAAATGTTGGCTGGTATTATTACTGTGGTCAGTGCTTAGATATTAGCAATCATTGATGAAAATAAGAGCACTGATGAGTGACTTTCAGGCAACAATGTGCATTTACTATAATTGGGAACAATGACATGCATTTATCCATCAGCTGAGTAGTGTTTGAAACTCAAGATTAATATATACAAAGTCTCGCTTTTTGTTAATGCCTGAGCAGGCTGGCATATTTTGTTAGTTTTCTGTCTAGAATAACAATAGATTAAAAGCATTGAGAATACTCTTGAAATGCTAAATTACATTTAGGTTCTCTTTTTGGAAGTGTGCAAAAATCGTTTCTTATGTCTCTTAACTCATTTGAACAGACATACTTTATCAAAGCCAACTTGGGGTAACATTGATACTGGCCATGAGTGTGCATCTTTACATATTTTGTATGGTGTTTTGTTCATGTATCAGGCTTAGGGCCACCCTGTTAACATTCTGGCCTGTGTGCCATAATCCCAGCCTAGTTGGAGAAGCTGCTTTCCTGCCTATTTTATGTTCTCCTGTTTCGTTTGCTCATGAGATTGTGATATTCTCTCTTCATATCCTTTTTGACAATTGAAAGCAGAAAGCATTCTTGAATATTCTTTTCAGCAAGCTTGTGCGGGGTGGGGGGGGGGGTTGGGGTTGGTAGAATTTACTGATAATTTTACTGGTAATTTTCATTCCTTTCTGTGTTGATGTTTCTTCTACTACTCTGCCCTACCACACCCTCTTCCCCTGACCAACCCTCTGTATCCTCACTCTCTGTCATCTTTAGCAAAGCCTTTATCAAGCAGAGGAGAGAGTAAGTGTGCAGTTTTTTTGTTAAGAGCTGAACTGTGTTGTCCCAAAATTCATTTGTGGTAGCCCTAACCCCGGTACCTTGGTATGTGACTATATTTGGAGAAAATATATTTAAACAGGTGGCTAAGTTAAAATGAGGCTGTTAGGGTGGCCCCAAATTCACTCTGACAAGTGTTCTTATAAGAAGAGTAAATTTCTCTGATGGCCAGTGATGATGAGCATTTTTTCATGTATCTGTTGGCTGTATGCATGTCTTCTTTTGAGAAATGTCTGTTCATATCCTTTGCCCAGTTTTTGATGGGGTTGTTTGTTTTTATCTAGTAAATCTGTTTGAGTTCTTTGTAGGTTCTGGAGAAATGCAAATCAAAACCACAATGAGATACCATCTCACACCAGTTAGAATGGCAATCATTAAAAAGTCAGGAAACAACAGGTGTTGGAGAGGATGTGGAGAAATAGGAACAC